ACTCCGATAAAATAAAATGAGTTACTGTCAAATAACTCGCATTATAATTTGACATTCAACAGTCATTACACATTAGCTATAAGTAAGCAAAAATAGTTTCTCCTTTTCATTATTTTTGGCACTCGTCACTTCACTATGCACAAGTTGCATATTCGAAAGAATATTCGCAATCTGAACCAGAATCACTATTATTTTAGTAATATTCTCTACATATTTGCTACTCATCGTATCAATTATTATTCTTCCTTGACCTTTCGTCCAGGATCGTTAATGTCAACCGTTTCTCTGTCCAAACATGCTTGGGGAAGAAGTGCAAGCAAGCGCCGTGAAGTAGCTGCACAAGCTTTACGGTGCTACCGACTCAATTCGTTTTGCCTGGTTTAACTCTTAGCAGTCGCCCACAATCGCCCAAGTTACGTTGCTCATCATGGACCTGTTACTTTTCAACTACTACTAATAACCGTTATTAAGAGTCGAATGTTATTCCGAACAGTTATTGAAGAAAAGTTGCACGGTGGGAACATATTTCCATGCAATACTGATATTTATAATTACGTGTCGTAATTATCACGTTCATTAAGTGTCACTATCAACAGCTCACTATCAGAAATCCATATCCATGTACGTTACTTTACAACGCACTGCCGGATGATATTAAACAATTAAAGTCGGTTCACAAATTTAAGTTAAAAGTAAACTCTTTTGTGATGCATAACTGTTTCTATACAATTAGAGACTAGACTACTTATCAAAAAGAAAAATAATGTTTATTTTAACAAAACAATGATATGTAATGAATTCGTTTACATTTGTATTGTATAATGTTTTTTAAAAGAATGTTTGTAACAAATAATGTACTTCAGCTTCCGGGTCAATGACCCCAATCTCGATCAGGTTTTTGTCCAGTTTCCCTGATCCATTGAGCAAATGCTGAGATAGCCCGGTTAATGACCACCATCTCAATCTGGTTTAGTCCCTGGTAAAGTGAGTAATTGCTGAGATGGCGCCTTGTTTTGCTTCTGGACGTAAATGTAGCTTCACTATGCGCGTTTTGTTGAACTTTCCTTTTGTTTCTAATGGTAGGAATAGAGGTAAGGGCGAGTTGCTACTTTGTTAGAAATGCAGAAA